TGCCTGCCTTTGTGATGTCCTGGAGGCCTATGCTACCCACTGCCGCCAGGCAGGCATCACTCCCATCTGGCGGGGTCCCACACTCTGTGGTAAGACTGAGTGGAAGAGTGGGGATGTTTAGCTTGGAGAAGACAAAAGGTGGGGAGGGAGGGGGCAGGCCAAGGGAGAAAAGAGTTGTCTTCTACTATTTGAAGGGCTATCATGTGAAAAAAGGATCAGGTTTATTCTGCTTGGCCCCAGAGGGCAGAACTAATGGGTATTAGTTACAGAAGTCAATTTAGGTTCTGTGTGAGAACTTCCTGAAGTGGAATTGTCCCAGCTTAGAATGGGTTGCCTCTGGTAGTGTCCTATCAGCTAGTCTTCGGTAAGCGGCTGGTAGACCTGGTAAAACCAGGTATATTGTAGAGGCAACTCCTGAACAGGTACATTGGACTAGATCAATGCTGTCAAACTCCAGTAGAAACAGAGACGCTCCTTTAGTGGTACCTAAGTTTCCCTTCGGCTTCATATTGACTTAGAAAACCGCATCCTAATGTTATCTATGTTTTATTGTATTTTTATTTATTTTGTTAAGCATTTCCCAATTGCATTTTAATCTGGTTGCCATTTGGGAGTGTTGTTTCCCCTGAACTGGTCTTTGGGATCCCTTGCCCCATTGAGTTTCTATAATTCTAGAATGTTCTTGGAGGAAGCATCTGTTTAGAGTAGGTTGGATGAGGGGCAGGGAGGGGACAGGTAAGAATAAGTCCAGGCTTATCCCTGGCACTTAGAATGTCTGTTTTCCCTACAGTGGTGGGCTGTCCCCTGGACCGAGGCTTCATCTTTGACGAATGTGGCCCTCCTTGCCCCCAGACCTGCTACAACCGACATGTACCTCTGGGTGAACTAGCAGCCCACTGTATACGGCCTTGTGTCCCTGGCTGCCGATGCCCAGCAGGGCTGGTGGAGCATGAAGCTCACTGCATCTCTCCTGAGTCCTGCCCCCCTGTCCTGCTTACCACGGACCCGAGGCCCACCCCTGATGGACGCCTCCAGAATAAAACCTGAGTGTTGTCTGGGAGTGGGCCTCACATCCCCCAGACTAGGACTCACTAAGGATTGGGGGGCTCTGCTCCCAACTCCAGGTGCTCCCCACCTTGACATTTTTCCTCTGGAAACCCGCCTCTCACGGTCAGATAGCCCATCACCTTCCACACCAGCCCCAACCAGGTTCACCATCCATCTCCCTCCCTCAAGTGGCCCAGGCAATGGGGTCGCTCCCATGTGTGAGTTGTTGAACTGCTCATCTTGGCCTACGAAAATAAGGAGCTGGGGAATGAGGGGACAAGGACTGTGTGGCCAGTGCCCAAGTGAGCCCAAAGGGAGGCTCCCCACTGTAACCTGTGTTTGAACATTAAACGCTTCCCGGCCCATCTGTGCTGCTGCCAGCCCTCTCTCTTCCCAGAGGCCCCAGGGTTGCCTGGGATTGGGAGTGTGGAGAGGTCTAGGCCACCATCCCTCCCAGGCTACACAAAGTAGACACATTTTCCTGAAGGATGGCATCCCAGGTCCTAGAAATACCAAAAGGCAGAGAAGGATGTAACCTGGGAACGGCTGTGGCCCTTTCCTCATGCCTTAGCTCAGGTGTGGAACCTGCAGCCTCGAGGCCACATGTGGCCCTCTAGGTCCTCAAGTGTGGCCCTTTGACTGAATCCAAACTTCACAGAACAAATCCCCTTCATAAAAGGATTTGTTCTGTAAAACTTGGACTCAGTCAAAAGGCTGCACCCAGGGACCTAGAGGGCCACAGTTTCCTAGCTCTTTTCCTATGAGGAACATTGTGGTCTACTGGACTCCCCTGGTGCTGACAGAGATACTGAAGCTGAAATGGGAGGGACCAGAAGATGACTTAGCATCTTGATCCCCAGGCCTATGATGTACAGGTAAAGGTGGAATGTGTAACAAATGCAAGGATCCAGCACTGAGCCTGTGGCCTTATTGACCTGAGAGGCAGTGTGAACGGTGCATAGAATATTAGACTTGTAGTCAAGAAGACCTGGGTTCAAATCCTGCCTCTAAAAGGAACTGTATGACTAGGTTAAGTCATGTAACCTTGCTTGTCTTTAGTTTCCAAATGGTAAAAGTGGAGTTTTCAGCTAGGTAGCCCCTAAGGGTCTTTCCAGCTCTAAATCTATGATTCTTTGGCCAGAAATCAGTGTTCCCAGTCAGAGTAACTGAATTGTGAAAGCAGAAAGGCAGCAACTGCTATTTCAGTTCAGTTTGACTCGACAATGTAGTAACTAGTAGCCCTAACAAAGGCATCTGCCTGCTCTTCTACCTGGATCTCTGCAGAGAGGAACAGCCAAGGTTTCTGGGCTTACGTCCTTCCTAAGCTAGACCTCATCTAAGACTGTAGAATTGAGTCTGCAGGAGACAGAACAGGAGGGCTCTGTGGAACCTTATTGTGGCTGAGTGGTATGACTCTGGGGAGTCTGGTGACCTTGGCTCCCCCTGGGTCCTTTATCACCACTGTGTGACTCTGATGGGTATGCCCTGGGGAGAGTGTCATTGTGTGGGCTGTGCTTTAGGCTGCCTGAAGTGTTGGTCCAAGTGACAGTGATTTTGTATCACCAGGCTAGTGACAGCTACATCCTTCACAATATCTTCTGAGGACTTCCTTCTCTATTCTCTCTGCTGTTAGAGGTCAAGGGACGCTTGCCCTACAACACTACATTCTCCTTTCAGAGCGAAGCTAAGGAACCCTGCCTTCAGCCTTTACATATTCCTTATGAAACTTCCCTGAGTCCTAATTCAAAGTAGAGGGTTTTCTTCCACACTAAAGTTCCTTCCGGACCTGGCCTGGCCATTCCTGATTGCCCCTGGGCCAGCCAGGAATGGGACCTCTGCCCATGGTCTTGTTTATGGGACATCTCAGCAGAATTTGGGATTCATCTCTGGGTTCTCCCTGGACCAGTCTCAGGTTCACTCACAGTAAATCAGGAAGCCTCCTGATGGCATGTCTGGCTTGTGGCAATTCGCCCACAAGGTTCTGTCATGTAATGTCTGGCCTGTCTTTTAATCACTTAGCTATATAGATAACTAACTTTGCCTTCCCCTACTGAAGGACAGACAAGAAATTACAGACAGGCAACTAGAACATTTCTGCTACCTCCAAAATCAGAACAATTTAACCCCATGCACAAGACAATCCTACACTTCCCAAAAGATTTTTTTTTCCAGTGGAATATCTCCCATACCTCCAGTTCTCTACCATAAGATTGCCAGGGGCACATATTCACTCCTGTCTCTGAATGCAAAGTTGTTGCTTGGCTATGGTAAGAGACAAGTAAGAGACAAGGGGGCTTGGCCTATTCTGAGCTACCTTTTGTTTGGAGGCCTTGTTTTATAGTTGTTTGGAGATGAATTTGGGAGAGTTCGGGTGAGTTCCTGCTTTACTCCACCATCTTTCCCCAGCTACCTTTTGGTGAGGAGGAATAATCAATACATCCAGCTCCTATGACACCAGGGGAAGGGGAGGGTACCGAGGTCCAGAGAACCCCACCAGCCTGCATTCCTGCCTCTAAGATGACCCCAGAGGCCTTTCCTCTGCTCCCCTTCCATTATTCTCAATAGTTTCTAGTCTGTGAAACCCTGGATTTGTAGAGGCCACAAAGGGAGTATAGAGAGGTTGAAGAAAGGGAGGAGAGAAAATCATCTGTGGTGGCTATGGTGTAGTAGGAGAAGAAGTAGATTTGGGGACATGGAAACTCAGGACCACCCTCCAGGGCTCCCCTGAATAAGAATCCCCTCTGCATCATTCCTAACAAGCAGTCACCTTGCCTTTCTTTTAAAAACCTCCAGTGAGATGCAGGGCCATAATTAGAAATTCTGGTGCCTTGGACGAGCAACGTGAAAGAAGTCCTCCAGTTACCTTCATGAGACAAATTCAGAGCAGGAGGTAGTGGACCTTAGTGAGACACTTCATGCATTAGGACACAAGGCTCACCTGGCCAGAAGAGGGTGCGGGGGAGGCGGCAGCCACTCTGTCACACAAGGCCCTGTGTGAGGACAGTCCTAAGTATACTCCCCAGGCTGCTCCTGAGGAGACAAGGCTGGGTCCCACCTGGTGCATGGCTGCCAGCAGATGAAACAAACTATCTGGTAGCTTCCTATTTTAATGATTTTCTTAGCAATGAGTAGAGTCAGTTATTTCTACCTGCTAGAGTACATTTGCTGTCAGTGCCATCTAAATTTCAGGGCCCTGGAGCAAAGTCCTGTCCCCATCCCCTCAACCCAGACCAAAACAGCAGCCCATTCCACTTTGGAGAGAGCTCCAGCTTTTAAGAAATGTTTCCTTGTCAGTCCTAAACCTGGCTCTTTACAACGTCTGCCCATTTCTCCTTCTTCCCACTCTTGCTCCTTGCTAGCTGGGTAATATTGGGCAAATCTTCCTACTCCTCTCCTACTTTTCTCATACGCAAAATGAAGGGGTTAGATTAGAAAGGAAATGATCTCTGAGCTTCCTTCTACACATACATAAACACATTTTTTCTGTCCTCCGAATTCTCCGGCAATTCTTTGTTTCCTTGACAACCACTGGCAAAGAGATCAGGAGACTTCGTTTTCCCCAGTGTAACCATAAAGTTTCCATAAAATAGGGCAGTGGAGCATGACAGTGAACTGTCTAGTTGGGTTCCTCTTTCCCTGCCCCCAACTGGGGCCTCTCCAGGAGGTCAGCTCAGGTGTCAAGAGACCTTTGCATTATTGAGGGGATAGAATTGTCCCTTCTTTTCTTCCCTGATCCTCCTGTTTCCCATCATTCCCATATTTCCTAAGGGCCATCGAGGAAGCTCTGGAGGGAGGACTCCCCTAGTGAGAAAGGGTCTTCTCTTCCAGCTTTAGATGCATACAGGGGAGGGGGTCCTTCAGGGGTGTCCTTGGAGAGCGGTTGGGAGGGGGGCACAGCTGCAACTGTGTCCTCAGGTTTCATGGGATGGCAGGCAAGGGGCTTCACTCGCCCCATGGAGTCAGACACGGTGTTCCGAGATCCTCAGCTTCCCTTCCCCTCAGGGCAAGTACTAGCTCTCTACCAGCAGCTCTTCCAGGCCCCTGCCAGGTTGGATGAGCTCCTGGTGGCTGTGCAGCAGGTAGGCAGAGGTGGGGAAGGGAGAGCAAAGTGCCAGGTACAGAGGCCAGGGTTGAGGCCTGACCCCCACACTGTTGGGAACTCTCAGGTACGTGGCGCCAACTGCCCTCAGGAGCTTGAGCTACCTTTGGTGCTGCTGGAGATGGAGCAGAGGCGGCAGGAGCAGGAACAGGTAGGGGGCACCAAGGAAGGACCTGTCCCCACCCTCCAGAACACGCATACTTTCCCTACATCCTACATCTTTCACCTTCCTTCAGGTTCTATGGGACTTGGAACTACTGACTGGGGCTGGACTCCATCTTTTCTGGCCATGCCGCGGACAGTTTAGAGGACCTTGGGATAGGGCCCGGAGCTCAGAGAACCATAACCGGGAGCCAAGCATCTGGGCTGGTGGGGAAGAGGAGCTGGTGAGTTGGGAATGAAAATAGACAAGATAGGTCAGGGAGGAGGCGGTGGTCCTAGCAGAAGAGAGACAGGGAGAAGACCTAGGTCAGAAAAGGAAGGCTAAGCTTTGAAAGTCTCTGGGGAGATGGATGGTAAAAATTCAGACACTAGGGTAGTGTCTCTTTAATGCTCCATTTCTCTGGGTCTCCTCAGGACCATGAGCCAGAAGGTCCTATCCTGTGACAGCCTTCCTTAAGCTTTTACTTCCAGGATTAATAACTCAGTTGGTGATTGACTATTTTAGGAGCAGAGCTCAGAACTATGGTAGAAGTGGCTGACCCAACTAACTGTCTTTCTTATTTGAGTGACAGACTCCCTAGGCAGGAGAGTCCAGGGGTCTGGGTAGGATAGACTCTGAATTGGAAGTCAGGAGACCTGGGTTCTAGTCCCAGGTCTGTTATCATGGTTGACGAGGGGTAGGGACTAGATGAGCTCTGGTGCCATTTTTATCTCAAATTCTGGGATTCTTTAGTTGTGTCGATTTCCCCAAGGATGGCTGCAAAAGCTTAGGGGAAGATCAGAGCCTTCTGCCTCCTCAGGCTATTTTGGGGAAGAGATCTACAGCTGAAAGGAGGAGGCAAGAGAATGAGGATAGGGTAGAAGTCTGATGCCTAAGGTGGATTGTGGCTTTTAGCCCCCTTCAGCATCTCCTCCCCAGCATCCCCAGCACTGGTCTCTGGCCCAGGAGAGGGATATCCGGAAGCGAAGTCAACAGCTTTTGGAAAAGTGAGTTCTCTTTAATGGTTTCTGGTACTTCCCCACCCTCAAGACTCTTCACCTAGTAGACCCTTTCCCTCTTCCATTTATTCCCAGCACTGTCTCTTAATTAAGCCTTCTCACATACTCAGGGCTCCTTCCTGTCACCCACCCATGCCCTGAGGTGCCCTCCTCAGAGCAAGGACCCAGGCATCAAACCTTCTGAGCAAAGGGGATGTTTTCTGAGAGATGATGCAATGTAGTGGAAAGGAATGGGAGTCATGACACCCAGAGTCTAATCCCAGGCTCTGGTACTAACTAGGTATATGAGCACGAGCAAGTTATTTCATTTCCTTAGGCCTCAGTTTCCTCATCTGTAAAATGAAGGAGTTGGACTAAATGCTGAAGTCTCATTTCTGATGTCACCTTCCATTCTCTTCTAATTCAGACTCAGTCCTGGCTCACCTTGTTCCACCGTGCTTCTATTCCTAAGAGAGGCCAAGGCAGAATAAGGCCTATTCCCTGGGAGATGGGCCAGGCAGAACTTGCTATAGCCACCAGTTGGGGTTAGAGAAGGCAAGGCTTCCCTGCCCCAGGCCCTATATCCTGTCTTGGAAACAAGGTTTAGGATCACAGAAGGTGTATATGGATGTGTGTCTATTTGGAAGTGCCATTCAAGAGACAGAATTGTAGATGATAAAACCTGGAGATGGAGAGGCTAATATTGCCCATCCCATTCTCCCATCTCATTCCATCTTTCCAAAGCTTCCTATCAGGTCACCCACAGTGTTCTGGTTTGGCTGTAGATGGCGGACTAAAGGCCTTGCGGTGATGCTGGGTATAGCCAGCGCTGAAGGCAGCACAGAGCCAGATCAGAGGTTTGGGAGCCCTGGAATGTTAAGACAGGCAACACTTGGTAAGTGACCAGATCTGGTAGGAGAGGGTAGCTGTGGGTCTGCCCTTAACTGGGTGACAGTTACTTCCTCTTTCCTCAAAGGGCCGGAGCCTGAGGCTGGGACTTCTTTCAAGGCTGATACCTGGGAGCTGGAAAGTATGCCTGAGGAAAGCCAGAGAGAACAGCCTGGGGAGGAGGAGCCAAGTAAGCACCCCAGCTTCAGAACCCAAGAACTCTCTCCCTCTCTTGCTTCTAGGAGAATAAAATAAAAGGGAGGTGGAAGCCAGCAGACATAATCAAAGGGAGGACCCTGAATTGAGCAGCAAAGATACAGGGCATAAGCCCCAGCAAATAGTTCTTCCTCGGGGCTAGTCTCATTCTGGTCCCAAGCTAAAGAGGGCCAGGTGCAAGCCCTATGGGGAAAGCTGTAAGGCTATCACCGTTTGGGGATAATCTGGACTAAGGCAAGCATAATTCACACTATCTTTCTTCTCCAAGGCCTCAACAATCACCAAGGGGTGATGCCTTCTCCCTTCCCCATCTCTGTGGACAATAAAACTTCCCTAGGATTCTGTAATTCAGTGTTCCCAGATGTCCTACAGCCTCCTGCAGAGGAACTGGTACTTGGGGAAGGGGAGAGGAGCTGGCAGAAATGGAAAACCTCCTAATACCCTCCCTTCAGGATTTACACTAGAACCTGACATGACAGCTGAGAGCATCTGCAGGGCCAAGGGAAGCCCAGGCAGCCAAACAATATTAAAGTGGGGAGGGGACAATGCAGGGGTCCTTATTCATATTGTATCTGAGGCAGGGGGAGGGTCAGAGGGGTGGAATCATTGGCAGTGTGCTGGGCTGTGTTCTACCAGGCCACAAGGGGATCCATGAGGAAGTGGGGGAAACATGGAAGGTCAGGAAGGGATCAAAGCAGAAATTCCCTATTATACCTTATAAAATGGAAATCCTGTTTTAGGATTAAGACAAAAATCTAGGCGAGAGCAGGATAGCTGGTGTGGAAGTAGAGATTTGCCTCATAGAACTTAGTATGCCCCTAACCTTCCTTCCAAGTCTTCTGGGGACATTGGTCCCTGGCTTGAGGGCCCAGAGTCTCAGTGGGGATTGCTGTAAATAAGACAGGTTCCAACATATATGTCTTTTCCCCAGGACCCAGGCCAAAGAGAAACTTCCCAGAATTCAGGGCCCAGGGGCCCAACCAGCCACCATCATGGATTCTATATTCTCCAGAAACCCTCAAGCCTGGGGAGCTATGGCCCCTCCCTGAACTGGAGGGCTTACAGAAGGGAACTAACCCTGAGCAGGAAAGAACAGAAACTCAGGCACTAGTGGGCACAGAGACCCCCAGGGGCATAAAGGGAAAAGTCCTCAGAGCTGGAGGGAGGAGACCCCAAAGGTCCAGAGAGAAGAGTCACCAAAAGCTCAAAAAATGGAGAGGTCCCAGATTCAGACCCGACATATCCAGAGGAATGAGACCCCAAGACTCAGGGAGAGGAGATTCCCCAGCCCCAGACAGATGAGGCCCTAAAGCTACAAAGAGGGGAGATTCTCTGGACCCAGAGGAATGAGACCCCAAGGGCTCAGGGAGAGGAGATTCCCCAGCCCCAGACAGATGAGGCCCTAAAGCTACAAAGAGGGGAGATTCTCTGGACCCAGAGGAATGAGACCCCAAGGGCTCAGGGAGAGGAGGTTTCCCAGCCCCAGACAGATGAGGCCCTAAAGCTACAAAGAGGGGAGATTCTCTGGACCCAGAGGAATGAGACCCCAAGGGCTCAAGGAGAGGAGATTTTATGGGCCCAGAAAGAAGAGATTACCCAGGCTCAAAGGGAGGAAATTCCAAAAGTCCAGAGAGGTGAGACTCCCTGGACCCAAGTGGAGACCCCAAAAGTACAAAGAGGGGAGATTTCCCAAGCTCAGAGAGAGGAGACCCTGAAGGCCCAGAGGGAGCTTCCAAAGGCTCCCAAAAGGAACATTCCCCATGTCCTCAGGGAGGAGCCCGCTGAGGCTTAGCAAGGGAAGACCCGCCAGGCTCAGCATGAGAACATCCCACAGATTCAGGAAAGGGAGAAACAGGTCTATAGACAGATTTTTCAGTTTCAAAGAAGTCAGTCCTTCCATTCCCTGGAAGGGGAGAACTTGAAGTTCCACGAAGAAGAGGTCTTACAGTTCCAGAAAGGGGATATTGTGAAATTCTGGAGAAAGGAGAACCCACAGCCTCAGGGAGAAATTCTTATTCCATTTCAAAGAAAGGAGACTAAACAGTCCCCAAAAGAGGATATGCTACTGTTCCACCCATCGGACTACCCACAGTCCCATGGAAAGAGAATGCTGCAACCCCAGAGAAATAAGGTCCCACAGGATCAAGGAAAGGTAATTGCATTCCCCTGGGGAAGAGAAATCCCATGGTCCCTGGGAAATCCCACCCCACAACTCTGCAGCCAGGAGAGGCTGGGGGCTGGACCAGGAGAGCAGTGGCTCCCAAGTCAGGAAGTCAAACTGTTGAAGACCGCTGCACAGCAGAGACTCAGGGAACGTGAAGCAGGCAAGTTGGGGACGCTCAGGGTGCAGAGCCAGCAGGCCCTGGGAGCTGCTGTGAAACAGGGACCATGACTAGCTGGGAGCAGACTGAAGGGCTTAGAAGATGGTCGGTTTCAGCCACCATCCCTATTCCCAAATTATGGGGCTGCAGAGCTCAAGGTAAGGATAATGGTGATGTATAAGGATGAAGCTACCTGAGAATAGCTGTTTCTGTCCTGTTGGTGGGGGACAGGGTTAGGCAGAACAGTTCCCTGTTTTTCTTCTACACTGCAGCAACATCACCTCAATGCCCCTAGCAGGGAGTGGGTTTTCCTGGGTCTCACGCCAAACCAGCAGGAGAACACCCTGAAAAGGCTTCTGGAGCTGCAGGGGGAGGCCAGGAGAAGGCACCAGAGGGACCGAGAGCAGCAAAGGCTCAGGGTAAGAGGGCCTGCCATCATGGTAGGGGTGTCAGATGGTATGGAGGAAGAGACCATGACTAGAGTTTAGGAGGAAGTAAGGAGATGCCCTGGGGGCAGGGGGGCTTTAGGGGCTGGTCCTTAGCACTTCAGCTCCTGGGACAATGCCCCCCTGCCATCTTCAGGTCCAGGAGCGCCTGTGCATCACCAGGAACCGACGCTCAGGGGGAGACCTCCTGGGGTCCTCACTTACTACCACCCAGCCCTGGATGCAGGCAAGACCCTGGGGAGAGGAGGGAAGGGAAGGAGAAAGGGCATGATCTCAACTCATTCTTGGTGGCGGGCTATATAGGGAAGATGGGCTGATGGGGGAAAAGTACTCTGCTACTGCCTCCTGTCGCTGGGTGTCCTGGCTCTGTAGAGGGACCTGTGGGCTCAGCCAGTCTCTAACCCACCAGGGTGATGTGGCCCAAAAGAGGTGTGCCTTGAGGGAGCAGCTGGAGCAGCAACACAAGGAAAGGACAGGGTTCCTGCAGGCCCAGCGGGAGAGGTGAGAGGTTAGGTTGGTCCACGCCCAGAAAGAGAACTCATATAGGATATGTCTTTCCTGGGCTGTGGGTAAGGGAAAGGTTTTTTGGTGTATGAGTTTACAGTGGCTGTCTCTTCCCCAGGAACACTAGAAATTTCCAGGAACTACTTCGACCCCAAATGATAGGGGAGAACCCACTCCTCCCAGCTCTGTTCCAGCCCTCTTGGGACCTGAGGAGGGTCGGTGGTCAAAGGGGCGGTGGGGAGAAAGGCAATGGAAAGCTCCCTGATGGGCAGAAGTCAGAGGTCGGTGCTGGCCAGAATTACAGAAAGGCCAGGGATTTAACCAACCCCAAGGGCCCAGGAGACCCAGACACATACACCCACCACAGAAGGAGCCAGCTTTGCCCCACCTGAGGGCATGTAATCTCCATTTCCCTGCTTTCCTTTCCCACCCTCCCCCCCAGCCCAAGGTCAGAGGGCTACGTCCTTGGGGTCGAGTAGAGCAAAGGCCCCATTCTTGCGGAAGAAGGTTTCTATCCGGCACATCTTACAGGAGACCAGCGTTCGTTCCACTGGGGGGCCTGGGAGAAGAGAGGGCAAAAGCTGGGGATGGGCTCCGGAGAAAAGAGCTTGGGAATAAGAAGGGGAGGGGAGTCGGGGAAACTTGCTTTGTGAGTCATAGATGATTTGCACGTGTGGCTCCTGCTTCATAGATATTAAAAGGAGGGCTCTGAATGGCTGTGGAAAGCTGGTGTGTATAAGGGGACAATGACAAGGGTAATGAAAGTGGAGGCAGACTGGAGTGCCAGCCCACGAAGAGGCCTTCATACCTTTCCCCAGGCCACAAATCTACCAGGGGAAGAATCCCTTTACAACTAGTGGTAGCATGAGCTCTACTCAGTGTTGGGGGTGGGGGTGATGAGAATGAATAAGAAAATGGCAGAGCCAGAAGCAGGGGATTGGCTTCCTTACTTTTTCACCTACTACCCCACCTTTCTACCCTTACCTGAACCCTAGCAGTAGCACTACAAGGTATAAGTTTGAAAATGGGGAGTTGAGGAGTCACAAAGTGGTTTAGGAGACTGGGGGAGGGTGGTCTGTGAGTTTTTCTAGGGATGCGGTCTTACCCAACTGCCAGCCATAAGTGAAGTTGGTAGTGACAGGAAAGAGATAACGCTCTTCTGGTTTGGCAATTTTGCGGTTTTTCAAGTAGTTGAATCGACCCTGGAAATCATGAGAGATTCCATGGTACAGCAGTTCCCGTGTTTCTGGTGGCACTGGGAACATTTCTGTCTCTGCAGGAGCCTCCTTGAGGGGAGGAGGGGGTTTGGGAGGCTCTTTTGGTGGAGGTGGAGAAGGTGGGGCCTTAGGGCCCAAGGTAGGCAGTTTGAAGACCTTTCTTGTGGCATCCCTGGCCACCTGCTTGGCTTTCACCTTTGCCCCGTACTTTCGGTGCCAATCACAACGCAACTTCATCTCCTTCAGGTACTCTTCCTTCCAGAAATTTTGTCGCTGCGTGTCCATATTTAGATGCCGTGCCATGGTGGCTGAGGGAGAAGGGCTACCTGGCCTATGGCAACTGAAGGGGTGGACACACCACCTGAGAGGTTAAGGCAGCAACAGCCTCAAGGACAGCAGTTGCCTTGGCAACCAGGCCTCACCTCATACAGTCTCAGGGATTCCATATGTTGCCCTTCCCTCTGGCTAGGCAGGCCCCCATTCCCTTCCCTCCTAGAAGCTGCTGGGATAGAGGCACACGCTAGGAAGTATCCCTGATCCTAATGGAGGTGACGTCCTTGATCCTGGAAGCGAGGTTCATTTTCTCACTCTTAACATCATACTGTGATTCTCATCCTCTAACCAGACCTGTGCTACAGAGCTTCATGTGGATACCATGTGACTTGTGTGACCTTGGGCAATGGGTCACTGCATCTCTCTGGGCCTGTAAAATGGTTCTGGTAGACTAGATGACCTCTAAGGTCCAGGTCTAGAATAGGAAGACCCTCATCCCAGAACCACAAGGGTCGTGGTCTCTCTCTAGTCCAGCTACTTTCAGCCTGCTCCCAGGTTTCTGAGCCCCTCAGTCTCTTTTTAGCCCTGGAGATAGCAGTGTAGGGAGAAATCAAGCCCAACTTTGGCTTCCCTTTCCAAAGCAGACACACTGTTTATATGTCCCCAAAACCACCCAAAAAAGATACCTGGAGAAATGAACTTTAATTTAGCATTGACATTAAGACACACAAATTAAGATGGCACAAAATCAACTAGGAGAAGAGGAAATGGAAGAAGAGGGACACAAATTTGAGGAGCTGGGCTTTATGTTTTCCAGTCTTCATTCTGTCTTAGTTTTACTCCAGGGCCCAATAAATAGCAAGTACCATGAGCCCTCCCCAGTTTCATTTCAGTAGTGGAATGTGACATGCGTAGGGAAGGGTGAGATGGGGCATCCCTTAGCGAAGATCCTCAGCAGTGAACATGCCTCGGGCACGACGTAGGATGGAGTCCTTGGCTGCATCATAGGGATGTTCCTTGGAAGGAATCTCTAAAACAGCAGGTATTGCGTGTGTGGGTATCCAATGCATGCCGTACCATTTCAGCAATATACTGGTTGATAAGGATGATACCAATGTCATCCCGATTTAGAAACTGCCTGTGGAGGGGGATTGGCAAAGAGAAAGGAAGAGAGTCAATTCCAGAGAACTTATGCAGGCTAATCTAGCTTCATTCCTAAAGTTGTGAGGTAGGTGGGGGGGAGGATCCCGGAAGCATATATGAAACATACAGAGTAAGGGCTATGATAGAGGAACTCAGACAAAAATCTGTGGAAAACAGAGAAGAGGAAGCTGCACTAGAAAAAGGGAATCAATGGATGTTGCTTATAAGCGATTCAGTTCTAGTTCTGCTGGGGAAAAAGTGAACAAATGAAAATGAAAAACTATCGATTCCCCTCAAACTCATTTTTCCTTGCTAAAGAAGCAAGGAACCCCCCCACCCCAGAAATAAAACTAAACCAGACCTGGAAGCCAACTAAAAAAAATAATGGGTATAAAAAGGGGTCTAGTTAGAAAAGACACATGTTGCTTTGCTCCAAGGATTTCACCTCCTGTTTCCCATGGTACAAGAATCCCACCCCAGAGCCACCGCTGTGGGGCACAATTGGACCTAGCAGGCCTCAAGCAGCAGGAGCTAGCCAGAGCCTGAAACTCTGGGACTTGGTTGTTTGGGGAAAAACAGAGGCACTACTACAGAAACATGGGCTCTGAAGAAGAAATAGGGTAAAGGAGATGCAAGAAAGTAAAACCAGTCACCACAATACTCCCTAGGGTTCAGCAACCTCCCCTGACAGTTAAAGTGCTACTGCAGAGGGGGAAACAATCAGAAAAGATGGAAATCTGAGGAAGGAGAGTCATCAAGACTATTTGGCCTCTCAGCAATGCGATAATATGGAATCTGGCCCTAATTATATACAAAAGGAATCCTAGATTTGGAGTCACAGAGCATGGGTTTGAATTCAGGTTCTGCTGGTCACTAACACTGGTGTCTCAGGCCTCAAATCAATCAGTCAACATTTATTAAGCTCTACAATACTAAGCCCAGAAGATAGCAAAAGATAGTAGTGCCTGCCTACAACCAAGTGTACAATCTAAATCAGGTTCCTCATTCAAAAAACAAAGGAGTTGGGATTGGAAAGGCATCCTGATAAGAGAGGCCAGAGTCTGGCATTTGGAGCTCAGATCCTGGTTCTGCCACTTAATACCTGTGGCATATTAACTAACCTTTGGGGACTCGAGAAGAGAGGGTCGGACTAGATGACCTCTAAGGTTCCTTCCAGCTCTCATGGAAAGTTGGAGGAATTATTACCAGGGGATTATTCACAGACGTCACGGGTGGAGGGAGGGCAGAGGCCTGAAACTGTCTGCATGTGACTGAGTTGCTGTGCGCAGAGCCCTGTCCCTGTCCTTAAAAGGGGCTTGGGAGAAGAGAGGGTCCTGGGGGTTCCCTAGAAAACATGCTGCGGGGGGGAAGGGGGGCCTGCAGTAGCCTAGAGGAGGAACCCCACGGGCAGGAGCTATCAGACATCCCAGAACGACGCCGGCCCCTTTCTTCACTGATGCGCTGTCATGTGATGGGCTGACTGAACCCCTGGAGAGCTCGGGGGGGGGGGCTTGCGTCCCAGCCTGGGGGTGCTCGGGGCCTCTTTGCAGGAAGGGACCAAAACCATTTCTGGATCGGAAAGAGAGGCTTCTCGGGGGGTCGGAGGCAGACACAAAGTCTCTCCCCACTCGTCTTCTCCCCCTCCCCAGTCCCCAGCAGCCCCGCTCCCATTTCGCCCCACCCCCCGCAGGAGTAGGACCCGACAGGGGCCTCGCGGGCCACCGTACCGGAAGGTGTCCTCGATTTCATTGATAGTTGTGTCCTTCTCCACCACCAGGAAGTTCGGGTGGCGGTGCTTGTTGAGCTCCCCGATGCCACCCAGCAGGAAACCGGTAACGGTGTCCTCGTCTCCAATCACCGCGATCAGTTTCCCTCGCCCAGCCATGATAGACGCTGCTAGGCTTGCCGTCTCACACAGGGCCCCCGAGAGCTGCGGAAAGGTGGAAGTTCCTCCCACGTTGGCTCCTCCCACCGCCCGCCCCCTTAGTTCTCCACAATGTGGGGGGTGGGGGCGGCAACCTTCCCCCTCGACACATGCGCGTTGCTTGTGGCTGGCTGTTCTCGACTGCCTCCTCCCTCCTCCCTCGCTCTGAGCAGGCGAGTGATTAGCCCAGGTCTCGGAGTTCCGCTGCGCCTGCGCCGAATCGCGCAATTTCCGCGAATGGAACTACCATTCCCAGAGCTCCTTGCGGCCCCAATAAACCTCTCGGGGAGGTACCGGTGAAGCAGCGTCCTACCACGCCCTCGAAGATGATGAGAATGTGCCCAAGGCATAGGTAGGATCCGAGGATCGCCGATGTAGGGATGGGAAGGAGCCCAGAGGAATCATAGACCGACCTCTTCGTTTCAGAGGTGGTAGGTGGGAGAGCCAAGGCTGTTTTCTACTTAGCCCTGGAAGATTGGAAGTGGGAGGGTATCATGCGCCCTGGGAGACACTAGGGGTGAGGGTGAGGGGGAAACTGGGGAGGGGAGGATCCCCCAAATGCAAGGAGGCGTCAGGGACGGCTCAAGACAAGTGAATGGCCTTTAAACTTTTTAAACAAATTTATTGGTATCTTTTGTATTTGCACATCGCGTTTCCCCCTCTCCCCTCCCCCGAGTATCCCTCCTCCCTGTCTTAGGGAGCCATTCTATATAACAAATAACAATATTTTTTTCCAAAAGGAGATCTAATTTGTCTTCTTTCCTTCCCTAACGCAAGAAAAACAAAATCCTCTGTTAAAATACATGGGATGTAACACCCGTGGACCTCCCACCCGTGCAAAGGGTTGCTTTGGAGACGTTTGTTCTTTGTAATTTTACCACATCTACTTTTGATTGTTTCGTGGTTGTTCTTTACGTTTACTTTGCTGTAGTCATTGTGTGGGGCAGCTAGGTGTTGCAGTGCATAGAGCCTCAGATGCTAGCAGTATGACCCTGGGCAAGTCACTTAACACTGTTTGCCTCCATTTCTTCATCAGTAAAATGAGCTGGAGAAGGAAATGCAAGCCACTCCAGTGTCTTTGCCAAGAAGACCCCAAATGGGGTCATGAAGAGACAGACAGGAATGAAACAACTGAACAACAACAAGAATATTCCATTACATCCTTGTACCACAGTTTGTTGAGCCATTCCCTAATTGATGGGCATCTACTTCTGTTTCCAGTTCTTTGCTATAACAAAAGGTGCCACTATAAATATCTTGATCATATAATGTGTGACTTACATAATGTGTAATCTAGTATTGTATATATTATGTAAATACATATAGCCACAATTTTTAACCAGGGTGGGGAGACCTCACACAGGGCCACATTCTTTATTGTTGTCAGGGCTGGGGAGCCCTCTTGTTTCTCCTCCCGGCCTCCTTTAGAGGGAGAAAAGGAGAGCAGGTCGGGCAGTAATCTGCCCCCCTCAGAGGGCCAGAATATTGGACAGCTTCATTCCCTCTTCCTCCCTGGGAAAGTTTCCCTGAAATCCACGCAGGGCAAAACAATTTTCTGCGCCCTCTGCTCCCTCTCCCAGTGACAGGCAAGCAGGCTTCCAACCCTACCACTTGCCCAGGCTCAGGAATGTCGATTTATTTATTTTTAATATTTTTTATTCTGAAAAACACCCAAAAAAGCATTTCCAAATTCCCAGTCAGATACAAAAGGAGGATTGTATAGGAAACTAGGATCATATATTTATAGCTGGGAATAAAATGGAATTAGCATTTATTAACTACTTACTGTGTGCCAGGCACTACACTATTCGATCTACAAATAGTATCTCATTTGTGAACAACCCTGAGAAATATGTGCTGCTATTGTCCCCATTTTACAGTTGAGGAAACTGAGGTTAAGTGACTTGCCCAGAGCCACAGTACTATTTGAACTTGGTTCTTCCTGACTCCAGGCTGAGACCTCTATCTACCAGGCCACCTCGTGGCTCTCTAGTTCAGTCCTCTCCTTTTACAGATTAGGAAGTTGAGGAACAAAAGGGAAGTAAGTGACTTTACAGAATCACAGCCTCTCCTAGATGAAAGACATCTTAGAAACTAT